AAAGTATCAGGTTAGGGCATACAATGAAAACTTTACAATAATGCCCAAATCAATAATATACACCATAAATATTTACATTGTCATTGGGCGTCTGCAGAAATTGTGGATGTTTCATGATCAGCCTGAAATACTCCCTTAACTTTAGATTTCTGATTGTGGCCTCCATGACCTGCTAGTGCTCCCTCACTCAAAAATTTTATCAGAGGTGGAGAATATTGATGACGTCTCATAGTTGTCTCTATTCCAAGATCATCCTGTCCTTTGTGAACTGTATATGGAAGACTGTTCTTTCCTAAGCACACTTCACATTTCTTCCTCGCGGTATACTTTTATCCACTTGCCATTTGCACTTTTCTGTAACCACCTAAGACACTGTGATAAACACCATAATTGTAAAATTTCTTGACATCTTTGTGATAACATGAAGGCAGAGGAGCTCATGTAGTGTAACATTCTGTCTTTGAGAAGGTCATGTAGACAGACTTTCAACTATTTTTTATGGTTAAGATGTATGTAAATCTCTACCATGGCATTTTACAAAAATTGGAGACCAAATTCAGATGTATGGAGAGAAATTAGAATGTTTATCAGGTTATTTATTCTGAACAATATTTTTTTCTGATATGCATGTCATAACTCGTATTATTAATACTGAACATGGTAAAACACAACTCCTCTGTTTATAGGTTTTCCAAAGTGTTTGCTTTTGCTCCAGGAGTTCTACATTGAAAAGGATTATTACCTCTAATTTAAGGCAGGAATGGTATATGGGTTTTATTCAACAGCGCACTCATGTGGCAAGACTTAGAAAGTACATAAATAGTGTATTACAGCATTCGTTGAATACAATGTAATTTTTTCATTACAGAAGATAAAATAACACATAAAAGTTCTTGTAGATTAAATCAATACAATGATGTGTTCTCCTGTATAATTCTTTTTTATTACTATTTTTTAAGATACTTTGATTTCATACTTAGAAAAAATATCCTATTTCAAATGTTTTGGTGATACAAGAGTTCCCAATAAAGGATATTATTTTGTTTTGTTGTATGTGGCCCCTTTCTTTACTGAAATTTAATTTCTTGATATCTTCATGTTTTTTATCACCACAGACTAAAAGTTCTGTTCTCTGTGACAGATCTGAGTATAGCTGAGATGTTATCACACCAAAATCTCTGAACATCACATTTTGTGGCTCCTCAGCTCCTAGTCTATGAATTGTATGCAGAATTATGACTGCAAGTTCTCATATGTTCAAGGTAGGGCCAGATATATAGCAAGAAGTAACAACTATTATTATGCAACCTGATATTGGTGAAGAAAGTATAAATGAGCCTCCAGGCAAACAAGCCTTTCTTAAAAAATACAAAAATAGTGGAGTTGAAAGCTGGACATACATTGATAGCAAGTGGACTTATTTATTTAGATATGCAGCATAAGATCAAACCCTCCATGTCATCTCAAACCTGGCTCACAGGGGAGACCTACAAAACATTTTCAAAGGATGAGTACTGATCAAAAATTCTAACTTTTTGGAATTAAAAAAAAAGTGAAGAACAGGTACTGGTTTGGTACTTCATTATACACTCTTTCCTCCTGATAAAGCTGCATATTTTAGAGACCCATAAATTCTTTTTCTTTCGTTAAGAAGACAGTCTTCTCAAAAAAATCGTTACAGGCTTTGAGGCAGCTGGAGAGATGGTAACTAGTTAGCTGACGGAAGTCAAATCAGTTTTACTGTTGCCATTTCTAGTCTTTGTGAAGTTGTATTTCAGGGGGAAAAAAGCCCCTTGGAGCACACTTCCCACATTTTGGGCAATCACATGCAGTTGTAGATAGGTATAAGTGTCAGGGATCAGAGAGATACAGCAAGGCATGCAGGGCAGAGTGCTCTCTAAGAAGAGATGCAGTACCACTGTATCCATGCCAGAAGAACTTTAAATTCTCTCTTTCTGAGAGAATTAAATCTCTTTCTGAGTCTTTGGTCCAACTGAAATGGTTAGAAAGATTGCCTAGAATCTTGGTAAGCCTTCTTTTGTTCTGCCATTTCCCATGGCTAACAGGTTTCTTACAGTGTCTGGCTGCCAGCAGGTTCCACAGCGGTGAGGTTGCAAGCAAGGACATTTCAGTGGCGCTGTAATATAGGAGAAGGATATTCAGTCCTGAACAAAGAAATGCCCTATTTTGGAGATTACTGGACAGCTGACCTTTGTTAATCCAGTGGAGGACTGATCTCAAGAACTGTGAAGACTTGTGCCTTTCATGTTGCTAGACCAAGGACTGAAGGAAAGAGGGAAGCCACTGCTAGAAAGCCCTGTTGGAAGAGGCCTAAGAGGCTGTTCGGATTAATTTTTCTGAGTGACCCAAAAGTACCAAAAAGTGAGAGTTGCAGGCCAAGCATCCAAAAGGCACAAAAGTTCTAAAGGAGCTGCCATCTTAATCTAGTTTTATTTAATTTATACTAGAAATTCCCACTGTAACTTCTTTTCCATTATCATCAATTATGCTTTTTCTATAGTTCATTTAATCTCCACACATCTTGCAAGACTCCCTCCACCACTTCTGTCCCTCTGGTGATGGCTCTTCAACTTCATCTTAGAGTGGGACTTAGACAAGATGAACACTATTCCTGAGTTAAGTTATTAAAGAAAACACAACAAAGCATTCCCTGTTTCACACCAGAACATGCTGGTCCTTGTGGTCCCAGTACAACAAAGGAATTCAGTCTCTCTCTGCAAAGTGTAATTTCAAATGCAAGTTATTAGAGTTAACACCATAAGGAAATAGAGAATTGTTATCCTACAGCATTTCTGACTTCATAACAATGTGTTGTGCGGCGTCAAATGGGTCTCTAATAAGGGCACATCACAAAGACTCTGTCTGTGGACCCCATTGTGGTCATTCAAGCTATTAGAAGATTTTCTTAAAATAAAACAACTTTATTATTTCTACTGTCAAACAGAAAGGATGTTTGCATAAGGACTTCTTGCTGCACTTTTAGATAGAAGCAAAGTCATGGAGGTGCCAGTACAATGTGGGAGCTGCTCATGGCTCCTTTAGCAGTGTGCTGGCTGAATTTATCCTGTGACCATGGGATATGCCCAGCACAACACAGGTCTGAAGGTCACATGGTTGCACTTGGGTTAACTATTGCACGGACACTACAGTCTCAAAGCACAGTGGCCCTTCCAAGACCACTAATGTGGAGGCACACTGCAGCCCGTGGTCCAACACCACACCCTGTGTGCACACTGTGGTGTCTGACCTCATTTCTCTGGAGTCTATAATTCAAGAGGCGGCTTTGGAGAATAAAAACAGGTAACTGTAACATCACTGAGTGATCAGGAGAGATGTCAGGACTTTGGGGATCAACCTTTGAGCATAGGTTGTTACCTGGGCTTTGTAGATCGGTGTTGGAAAATGGGGCTAGAGGGGGTCCCAAAGGCACAGCCTCTGTCCCATAGGCACAGCCTCCAGGGAAAGCACTGTGGCTGGAGTACCATACTTGTCCCTCTGCTCAGGCCCTTTCTGCAAAATCAGCTTGATAGAAGCATTTATGAAAGCTGGCTCTGACCTAACACGGATTTAAGGGACAGAGACTTCCTGGTGTCCTTAGACTGAGAAAGCACAGTAACAACAGAGGAGCGGTTCTTGATTTCTTTATGTTCCAAATTCTGATTTACTCCCATCAAGAGAACTGCACTATGAGCAAGGTCTCTGGTGTGATCTCTGCAGAGCATTACCTTGCAGAATTTTTGTATAAATATCTAAAGGGAGGGTGCCAAGAGGACAGAGCCAGGCTCTTCTCGGTAGTACCAAGCAACAGGTCAAGAGGCAACGGGCAGAAACTGATGCACAGGAAGTTTCACTCGAACTTGAGGAAGAACTTCTTTACTGTGTGGGTGAGTGTGCACTGGAACAGATTGCTCAGAGAGGTTGTGGAGTCTCCCTCACTGGAGATACTCCAGAACTGTCTGAACACAATCCCAGGCAATGTGCTCTGGGATGATGCTAGTTGAGCAGGGAGGTTGGACCAGATGTGCCTCTGTGGTCTCTTCCAACCTGAACCATTCTGTGATTCTGTGAGAACGGACAAGAATGCCCATAAGTAGAGGTTTGATAAAGGAAAACTTCATTTTTTTCCTGCCCCCTTACATTAATTCTCTCTCTCTCGGCAGGGTGTCCTCAGCTTTTTGTACAGTTACGGATGTGGAAGAGGAAAAAACCGAAACCGCACACAAAGGTAACTGTCTCCCAGCTGCTTTGTACCAGTACTGTGGAGACTGCTGCTACTGAGGAGTTCCCTGGCGCCGGGGCAATGTCCCTTGGGATGCCGTGTAGGGGTGAGTGGGACCGGAGGGTGCTTGAGGGCAAACCTAAAAGGACTGCAAGTGCCCCCCCGAACAGGTCAGCGCCGCGCGGAGCAGCCTCCCCTCACAGGCACCAACTCCTGAGGCAAGTCAGGCAGGATCGAGTGTAGAACCGACCGCCTTTGTGAGCTGCTACCTCTTTTGTGAGCTGCAGTCTCGCTTCCACGGATGAACGCCAGTGAGGGAACACCTCTGGCATTTGGTAACAAATCCGCTATCTGGGCGTCTTGAGAGGAAATCTCTCCCCCAGAGCAAGGCAGCAGAGCTCTGCGGGACGACGGCGCACGGACACGCCAAAAGATAGCGGCGAAAGAGCCCCTCGACGACCCCCTGCTCTGAGTGGTCGCTCCTCCCCCCCAGCGTGCGCACCAACGGCCGCCCACGCGCTCCCCAAGGCCGAGCCCGGCGCCCTGTGATGACGCTACGTCTCGCCCGGCGTCCGACAGCACTTGCCCAGCGCCGTCGCCGCGGCCAGCCGTGCGCATGCGCGCTGGGGTGAGCGGCGCCGCGTCCCTTCCCGTGCCCGCCCGGCGGGCCGCGCCCCCTCCCCCTCTGCCCTCGCGCCCCCTTCGCGCCGCCCGTTGCCCGCCGGGGGCCGTGCGGGGCCGGCACGCGCCGCCCGCCCCTCGGGAGCGAAGGGAGGGCCCGGCCCGGCGGGAAGTGCGCGCGCTGGAGCCGGGATGCGCCGGTCCCACCGCCGACGGCGGCGGGGGCAGGAAGGGGGCGGGCCCTGAGGGCGAGGGCGCGGTCCTCAGGCGGGCGGGGCCGCGAACAGGCCCGGGCGGTGCTTCCCCCGCGGCGGGCGCGTCCCGCCCCCCGGTGCGGGGGCAGGGCTGGGGCCGTGCCAGGGCAGCGAGGCAGGGGTTGAGCGGGGTCTGTGTCCGCAGGTGAGCCCAGTGCGGATGCGGCGGCGGGGCGAGGGGCAGCGCCGCGGTCCTCGGGCGGTGCCGAGGAGCCGGCCCGGGGCGGGAGACACGGACTCCGGCGGAGACCTCCCGACGGATCGGCCCGCCGCCCTTCGGAGCGGGATGGAGGAGCTCGACAAGGAGGGAGATGGTGCCGGAGGGAAGACCGCCTGGCAGCAGAGCCTGAGTCCCGAGCTGCAGCAGGGATACCGAATCCTGCGCGAGTTCCTACTAGAGAAGTACCGGCCTCTGACGGCGCCGTTCCTGGAGCCCCTCGCGGATCAGGCATTCTTTGGAGAAGAAGGCGCCGGCTCCCTCTCGGGCCATAAGAGCGGCCAGTGCCTCCAGCAGTTGCCAGCTGGAATATGGCTGTTGAAGATGGAAGAGAAATTTTCCAGTGGGCAGTACACAGGGATAGCAGATTTCGTGTGTGACTTCCGGCTTATGCTGGAGACTTGCTACCGGCTGCACGGTGTGGATCACTGGCTCTCCAAACAGGCCCAGAAGCTGGAGATGATGCTGGAACAGAAGTTGGCGCTGCTGTCCCGGTAGGTGTAGAAAGTCGGTAGGTTCCCTACCGTTGTTGTTTACATAAAGTAGAACAGGGGGGTGTGTTTCTTTGTGTGAAAAATTTGTTGTTTACATAAAGTAGAACAGGGAGGTGTGTTTCTTTGTGTGAAAAATTCCATTAAAAGAGAACAAACACCAATCCAAACCAAACAAAGCCCCACAACAGAACACTGGAACTCTCAATACTTTCATGTAAGGAACGTTTCCTACTGTGAGCGATTCAAATCTTAATTCAAAACTCTTTGGAAATTCCAAACCTGAATATTCCAAAAATAATTCCAAACCAAAATGCCAAACAGAGCACAGCATTTCCTGGCTAAGATTTTCCTGCTGAAAGAAGTCTTTTGTGGACATGGAGACACATTTGTTTACACAAGATGTCAAGTGCTTCTTTATTTTACTCTATCATGAATCTACGTAAACTCTGTATGAATATCTGGCTCTTTAAAATTGTTTTTTTAGCAATCTGTGAATTTTTTACTGTCTTTAAATAAGTAGGAGTAAAATCTTGGACCACAGTTTCCTGCTTTGAAATGACTTATTTTTTGATACTCATAAAATGAGAGACAGTACTTGGCATACTGTAGTCTTAAATGGCAAAATGGAAATTGTGATAAGTTTAAGTCCCCAGCAGGAACTTGTTTATCAGCCAAAGCAGCTGAAACGTAGAAAGCTGTTGAGCTATATAGTAGAAAGGCCAGTTTAAATCACGACTGAAGTAAATGCTTTATCATGAGTTTATCATAGGTACAGTTCAGTCATTATCAGAAACTCATAGTGGCTTCCCACAATGAAAGGCCCACCAGTATCCTGAATGACATAGTGTTTTGCATGTAAAAACCAAAAGTTTTTTTTTGCTAAAGGTGAAGGTGAAGAAGGAACAGTATTGGGAAGTTTGTAAAGCTGTGCATGTCCATCAGCTTTAAGCTTGTTAGTGACACAGAGCGTGACCTGCCAGCTGGTAAGAAGAACCTTGCTTGTGTAGTAGTAGCACTTGAGGAGCGTGGTGCAGAACTCAGCTGAAACCGGAGTGAACGTATGCGTTCTGCTGTAGCAACAGTATATTTGAAACTGTTTCTGTGTAACAGCAATTTTGGGACAGTTTGTGAGAAGGGAAGGAGCCAAACCTAATGGGGCATGCATGTTGTTAGTTTGCCTGAGTAAAACTTGGTTTAAAAAAAATCAGAATTCCTGACTTAGTAGAGTTACTGCTGGCAAATAAATAACCAAATGCAGCTTGGAAAATCTCTGCTGTGTTCATTTCTGTATGTTGTGTGACTGTAGCATCTCTACTGTATTGAATTGAAGGGCATTTTGTTGAAGGCTCTTGGTTGAATTAAGTGACTACTCATTTCATTCGGTAGGACCTGAGAATGCACAGTGCTGTTTTATAAGAAATTATGTAAGAAAGTGAAGTCAGTTTATGCACTGTCATCTAAATAGCCATGTATGTATTTACTAAAAAAATTCAATTGCCCTTGTAATTCTTTCAGAAATTCAGAGTCTTTTTCAAATAAATATTAGGAAATACTAAACTAAAAATAATCTTGCCTCAGTATATAATGAATTTCTCTTGTATTAGCTCTTCAGGGATTTGTAAAGATGTACTCCATATGTCTGTGTGCTAGCTTAGTAGAAGTTTCTAAGAACTATATATAGAAAGGATTAGGGAATCTAGAAGTCTCAAAGTTCTTTTATAATTTTTGATCAGACAAATTTGTTTTAAGTGTTTACCAGACCTAATTTTATGAGTAAAATGAAATTGAAGAACTACTTCCTGGAATAATCATTCTTGCATCATTACAGAGCAATGTTTAGCTTAACGATCCCCTTCAAGTGGTTCAAGGGAATCAATCAATGTTGGTTGTATAATTCTCAGATACTACAAGCCACAGAAAATTACCTTAGAATGGAGATTGCTTATGAATGGAGATTGGATTTTTCCCTCAAATGTTTTCAGAGTTTGTGAAAAACTCTACCATTTTTAATGGAGTATTTTGAAACAATGTAGGATGAAACTTTGCAGCCAAATTTGTAGTGTTTTGCCTTTCACCTTTTGTAGTTGTAAACAGCACTAAAACGGTGTTTAACACACACTTCCCCAACCTAAACCAACAAATACACCTCTTTTTGCCCCCCAAATATTTATGGATTAATATAGAGAATTCAATCTCCAAATAATATTTGGTTACTTGAGGTAAATATCCACCATTTTTAACTGATGTGAAAACTTAGGGCATATTAGCATGTTGGGTTATAAAATTTCATGAAGAAACTTGTAAAGTGGAAAAAATGGCAGATGAAAAGGTGACTGCTTTTGTCTCAATAAATATGCTTGATCCATGGTTGGTAGGGTAGGCATTGAAGTACCACTGGTAAGGACAGTCATAGTTGTGAATTGGCTTGCTTTTTTCTTCTAGGCATTTAAGAGAGAAAACATCATTAGCTGTCACATCTAGAGGATGCTATGGGCAGGAAGATGAGAAAGGAACAGCATGCATTTCCACAAGACGTCGTTCCACACCTCGCAGTTTAGTAGGCTTGTCAACAGGCATGTTTGAGTCTGTGATGGTTCAGGTTCTAAGACAAGAGGAGCAGCTGAGAGCAAAAGAGGAAAAGAGGTAATAGGAAAAACCATTTTGTTTTAGTTTTAAATAATTATGTCTTCCTAGTTCTCTACAGGGGCTAGCTCTTTATGGCTTTTTTAGGTAAATAAATATTATGGGGCTCTTGTGCTCTTAAGTTCATGACTTCATTATAGTACATCCACAAAGCAAAATGCTAGTACCACCTTCTGGAAAAATTGCTGAAGTCATAGAATTTACCACATAGTGACTAAGTCGTTACATTAAATTATAGCTGCTTTTATTTTAGGATTGTGAAACTTTTAAGACTAATTAAAAACATTCACAGCAATTTCCTGTTAGCTCATTCACAGGTTATCACCCATGTCCTTGTACTGTTTTTCATGCAACAATTAGATTAAAAACTACCAGAATGCTTGATTACATCTAATTCCATGATCTTGTCACTGCTTCCCTCGTTGATAACCAGAAGCAAATTATCTCTGCCAGTGCCACTGCTGTTACCTCACTGATGTGGCATTTCAGCTTGTCAGTTAGGTAGTACTTTTAGGATGTGTGTGTAATTAAAATCTGTGAGATTTTGAGGTGTATAATTCCAGGCAGTGCTTAATGTTAATATGTTTCACTTTGAGGAAAAAGAAACTTGTAAATTTGTATATTTAATAGTAACTTGAGTGACTGTGTTTGAAGGTGGAGCATAATGGTAAGACAGTATTTGCTTTAGGAAGCAAAATGTTTCTAGCTTTTTTCAAAGCTTTGGAGGCTTCTACCCATATGTAATCAGTTCACTCTAATTTTGCAGGTAATCTTAATTTTCAACAGATTTGGAGCTATTTGGCTGACTTTACTGTTAGACAGTACTTTTTCCCTAGAAAGGAGTGATTCTTTTTTCTAATCCACTCATATTCTAATCACACTTCACAAAAGTTTCTCTGGTAAAAGTCTCTTGATTTTTGCTCGACTCTTTTGTTCTAGAACTCAGAACTTGATAAAACTGTTATGAAAAAGGACATTTTGGTTGTATTTTAATTCACCCATAGAATCCGTAGAATGTTTTACCAGACAAAGTAGAAATTTGGCTTTCGTACACCTGTTTTAAGCTCATTCCTGCAACACTGTAGTAATTAACAGTTAAATTCATGTATCTGGATGTACTCAAAAGTCCCAGATCCCATGCAAAGGATACTCCACAGTGCTTGGTTCTACAGAAAATTCTATGATAACAGAAGAAGATCACAACAAGCTTGCCTCTTTACACCCTAAAATGTTGAACTGTACCACTTACTATGAAGCGATAAAAATCTATCACTAAGTAGCTGGTTGAATATTTCATTGACTCTATTGAGCTACTCAAATAATTGTGCTTCAGATATCTCCTTAAGTTATATTTCCTTTTGGATCCCACCATGTTTTCAAAATAATTTGGACCTCTCTCTATCAATTGCTTCCCAACTCACAAAAAATGTTCCAAAAGTACCTCTTAGATAGTATTTTATGAAAAAGTCTTGGAAATTGGAAGACCTATAAAATTAGTAATATATTACTAGTGAAGATCACATGATACAGTGTGTATAATTTTTCAAAGTGGTGTATATATAAATGCACAGACTTTCAACACTAAGATGGGACACTATTTTTGTTCAAAAATATATTTCAACTTTCTAAACTTATTTTGGCTTATTGCTGAAGTATAGATTATGTTGTTAACAAGAGAAAATGGTCATTCTGCTTCTTTTTTTTAGAAATCTGATACACTGAGGTTGGCACAGAAGGAGTACTTTCAAAATTAAATGCAAGATTGTAGGCTTGGATATTTCAGTTGGCGAGCACAGTGCTGGCCAATAAGTTGTATTTGGATAGGCAGCATCTGCTGTTCACCCAACTTTCAGATAAGTTGTCAGGAACATAAAAAAAATGCTCCCTTTCTGCCATCCAGTGGACCCCTCAGCATACATGTACTTTCTAGCCAGTAATTATCTTAGTTTAAAACGCCTAGGAGTTACGTGCTTTCAGTCCTAAATAACTAGGGCTGTAAATGCAAAGGCCTGTCTACAAAACTTAGCTTCATACCTAAAGAAATTGCTGTCGAAGTATAATTTTATGTCCAGTTCTTTGCTCTAGATATCTAGATACTCTTGTAAGGCAAGAGTGTTGTATTAATGGTGAGTATTAAATAAAACTAAAATTAAATTAAAAATACTAAAATATACAAATAAATATAATAATGTATATTATATATAAAAATAAAAATAAATCCTTTAAAAAATTTTGGGTTTGTTTTCCCCCCAAAATCCTTAACATTGATTTTGCAAGCTTTTTTCCAACTGCATATTTTGGAAGAACATCCTAAAGTGTGATTTTTATCTTCTTTTCTGTAGTTAGCTTCATTGAAATCCTACTACAAATTCTACCTTTGTTTTCGTTTATGGGTGTCCTTCATCGAGGTTTCTCTTTTTCTTGCAATTTATCCATTTCTTGCACAGTCAGTTTCATTTTGTCTTTATTCAGTGTTTTATAGCTTCCCCCAAGTGACACATTCATCATGGTACACTCAACATGTGAAACCAAGATGTCATTGCAAAGCAGATTTCATTATTTTGCAGATAATAATTTCTGTACAGCGGCAAAAGCACTTTTTCCCAAGCTTACCTTTTGTTCAAGTGTTCTAATTATCAGAATATTGAGCATCTTCTTTGGATTATTAGTTACGTTTCTATGGGTTTCTACTCAGCTGTTTGGTGATGTGCTAATATACATATACATAGCAATATACATACTAATTTACACATCAGTTAACAATAAATAATTGTCGAATTTTTTTAAATTGGAAATGCTTGCCTAGTTAGATACTGAAACATAGCAGTAGATTCCTATTGAAATTTTTAAAACCACTGGTGAATGACAGATAATTAACTGATTGATTTCGGTGGGAATTAAGTGTCTCTATAACTTCGGTTTGTTGAAAGTTATGCTAGGCATAACTTCACCATCTCTGAAAACATGATCCTGGGATAAATTTCAGACTTTTTCATCAGAACATTTAAAGAGTTCAATTCTGGTTGCAAGTTAGTAATTTAATTTAGCAAATTTTGGAATAAGGTATGTTTATACAGTCAGGTTTGATTTTTATGAGCATGTTAGCATGGAATTAACCTGGGTCCTAGAGAAAAATGTAGAGTATGTTATAATATGATGTAAGCCATTACAGATACAGAATTAAGGTTACATGGGCATCTCCCAATTTAATATCTTCTGAGTGTTACACCTTGACTTAATTTAGAATAAGGTGTAATATTGCTAATTTGTATATAACTTTTGATTTCATTTTTTAAAAGAAAGTTTGTAGAAACAAGTTATTGTAGAATTAAAATAGTTCTCTATATCTTGTCATCAGAGTTCCAGTGTCTGACCTTTTACCTGAATCAACACCTAAGTAGGTTAGAAGTGGTAATTGAGGGAACAAAGTAAAATCTAATCATTGTCTCCTCTCCCCTCCAAGTGGAATCTCTTGTTGCAAGCGAGAAGGAGTTTGCTGGTGCTATCTGTCTGCTGTCTCAAAGGAGAAAATAATAAGAAAAGTGGGAGTTACATCTGGACTCTGTTTTAGGTGTTATCTCTACTTGGGGATCATGGTTGCTGAGCTTTAACGTCAAATGCCATGGCTTTATCCACTTAAGAGCTGCAAAACAAGTGCTGCACATGTGTTGTGGGAATATAACCTTAGTCTGGAAGTGTCAGCTTCACTTAAGATTAGTTTTGTTATGACTGTAAGCGCAATATGTGTCTGCAAACATATTCATAGTAAATGTGAATAAAAATATGAAACAACAGTGTTTTTTACAATTGCTGTCAGCATAAAAGCCAAATATGTACGTCCAGAAAATCTCTCAGTCCAACAGCAAATGTCTCTCTCTTACCACCCCCCATTTCTTCCTCCATCTCTGCTCCCTTGCCCCACTCCCTCTCCCCTCTTCATTCCCTTCTGTCCTCTCAAAAAAAACCCCCAAAACAACAACAACAAAACCCCAAACAAACAAACAAACAAACAAACCACAAAAAACCCTGAAACACACTGCAGGAAAAAGCTATGCCCTCCAAAAGATTCTAGCAGGAAGACCTCAATCATCATCATCATCATCTCTGTGTAACCTTTGTTGATCTCACCAAGGCTTTCGACACTGTGAGCAGAAAAGGTCTATGGCAGATTTTGGAACGTTTAGGATGTCCCCCCAAGTTCCTTAAAATGATCATCTCACTTCATGAGGATCAACACGGCCAAGTCAGATATGGCAATGTGCTTTCTGAGCCCTTTCTCATAATCAATGGTGTGAAACAAGGTTGTGTTCTTGCACCAACCCTATTCACAATCTTCTTCAGCATGATGCTCCAAAGGGCCACGGCAGACCTCAATGATCAGGATGGTATCTACGTTCGATACCATACCGATGGAAGCCTTTTCAACCTAAGGCAACTGAAGGCCCACACCAAGACCTTAAACCATCTTGTCCGGGAGCTGCTTTACACTGACGCTGCCGCCCTTGTTGTCCACACAGAAGTAGCTCTGCAGCGTTTAACATCCTGCTTTGCAGATGCTGCTGAGCTCTTTGGGCTGGAAGGCAGCTTAAAGAAGACAGAAATTCTCTATCAACCTGCACCTCAGGAAGTCTTCCATCATCCCCATATCACCATTGGTGAATCAGAGCTCAGATCAGTCCAGCAGTTTAATTACCTAGGCAGCCTCATCTCCTCGGATGGTAAGATCGACAGAGAGATAGACAACAAGTTAGCAAAGGCATATAGTGCTTTTGGAAAGCTTCATAAAAGAGTTTGCTGAAAAAAACACTTTAAGAAGAAAAGTACTAAGATCAGTGTTTACAGAGCCATAGTGCTGTCTACTCTTTTATATGGTTCCGAATCATGGGTCATCTACCGCCACCGCCTGCAACTCCTAGAACGCTTCCATCAACGCTGCCTCCGTACAATCCTAAACATCCACTGGTCAGATTATGTGACCAATACATCTGTTCTAGAACAAGCAGCAATCACAAGTTGCTGAGAACACAGCTGCGTTGGGCAGGACACGTCTCAAGGATGAAGGACCACTGCCTCCCTAAGATCCTGCTTTATGGTGAACTTGCCACTGGCTGCCGCAAGAGAGGAGCCCTGAAGAGAAGATACAAGGACTCCCTGAAACAACATCTCAGCCTTGGCCAGATTGATCAACATAACTGGCCTCCAATTGGGAGGTCTGGAGACACACTATCCATAACACTGCTGATGCTTTTGAGAAAGCACACAGGATCACTCTCAAGGAGAAAAGACAATGCAGAAAGAACCTTGTCTTGCAGAATATACCACCTAAGGAGTCTTTCTGCTGTGCCTTTTGCAACCGGACGTGCCTGTCTCGTATTGGCCTTTTTAGCCACCAGCACGCTTGTAACAAACGTGGGTAGAGCCCGTCCCAAATCTTTGTTCACGAAGCCCAGCCATGATGATGACCACCCCCCATTTCTTCCTCCATCCCTGCTCCCTTGCCTCACCCCCTCTCCCCTCTTCATTCCCTTCTATCCTCTCAAAAAAAAAAGCCTAAAAAAAAACCACTGCAGGAAAAAGCTATGCCCTCCAAAAGATTCTAGCAGGAAGACCTCAATAATGAAGATATGAAAGTGTGCTTTTATATACATTTTCTCTTGAATGTCTGCTGAGAACGGAATGATAACATTGTGATAAAACAACAGTTTAAAAAACAAAGACAAACATTTTACAAGTGAAACAACTTATATTTTTCTTTTTAAGGAACCTTCTAAAGCATTCTTAAAATAGTATAATAATTGTCATTTTATCTAGACTGAAGTGAATCTAGGGTATTGTGTTTGAGAATTCTATCTTGATTTAAATTATGAATTGATGATAAATCAAAACTGCATGCAAAGATGATATTTTTAGATCACCTACAGCTTGTGTTTTTCTCAATGATACTGAAATGTTATTGTTTCTACGTATGTTCTATCTCACTATATGTTCATATTTAATCGTATTTCCAGACCATATTAATAGTGTTCGCAGCTTTTGGAGGCAGCAGGTTATTAGGAGGTGTGTTTTACATTTAGGAGGAAGGAGGGAGTGGGATCCAAGAGTGCTTTGAAATTGATGTTTGAGACTATTTTTTACTTAGTATCATTTCTTCCTCTGTCTCACGTGTAAATTAGTTATTTTTATTATTTTCTGTTCTTTATTATATCAATGCAATATTAGCACATTGAAATAGAACATAAGTCAGAATAAAAATAATGCTCACTTTACCTGTGCAAATAGTATTGTTGAATTTATTGGTTTGTTCACATAGAATGGCAAATGGGATTTTGTGCTGCAAAGTAGGATTTTGTTTTTATATCCCATCCTTTACATCATTACATTAATGCTGCATTGGGAGACTGAAGTTAAGAATTTACTGATCTGTTTGCTTTTACATTTTATGCTTTACATGAATGTGTCACAAGAGTGTGTGTATGTGGTATTAAGAAGTTCTGTTCAAATTAATTTAATTGTATAAGATAAAGTATTTAGTAGAATCTTACTGTATTTCATGTTATTTTGCATATACATGGTATGTTTCTCCAGTGCCGGCACTAAAATGTGGACTAAGTTGGGTTGGTCACATTTTTTACATTGTTGAGATAGCTTGTCAGTAGTTAATGCTTCAAATACATGCTCTTCAAGCTAGAAGCCACTATTAGCTTCAGGTTGTTAGAAGAAAGATTTTAATTTATTGTTACTCTTTTGCTGAATTTGAAACCATTGATGCTTTGAATGGATACATGCCATTTATTCGCTACTTGTATATGAAAAAAATATAATTGGAGGTTAGCAATCTGGAAATAAGGACATGGAAATTCCGCAGGTCACATTAGTGTTGTAGGCAGGTCATTGTTTCTACCAGTGATAGAAGTTTCAGGGAAAAACATATGAGAAGCTTAGGATGAGCTCTAAAAAAATTTTCCTGTAAGTACAACTGTATCCTAATCCTATCTTTTGGAATCTGGTCATGCCTTCAGGCAAAAATGTTAGTTTACTATTGGAGCATTAGAGAATAATCCCTCCTGTTGCTGGTAACCTTTGATATTCTTGTGATTCATGCAGATGTCCAATTTTCCTCTTTGGAACTGGATTAACTTATCCTGTATTTTAGTAAGTTAGATGGTGAGCTAGGTGTGATTTAATTATCTGAAATGGAAGCATTTCTTCTAACACTTGTTGCCCTTAAATTGCATGATGAATTTCCAAATAAAAGTAAATAGAAGTTCTCAGTCTGTCATATTAGCTTTGTATATTGCTGTCATGTTTCCTCTTGCTGGTGTTTTGTGTGGAGCCCCAGATTATTCAGAACTTTTTTACAGGCCTCTGATTACTGATAACCTCTTTCTCTGAATACACATTGTTTCTACTCTATCCTTTTTTTAGATAGGGGAACCAGAACTGAATACATTTTTTCAGGTGAGGGCAAACCATTCCTTAACGTAATGACATTTTATTTCTGGTGTTATTTTCCATCGTGTTCTTTGTGCATCCCAATACTTGTTTCCTTTTTGACCAACGTTGCAAACCAGCACACCTATGGCTGGGAGGGAAAATGTGTGTAAATAAAGCACTTAGCACTTAGACATGTACACTTGTGTACTGAGGAAGGGAAGTACAAGGAGGGTGATGCAAGCCACAGGGCAACCATTTGACAGCAAGATTTACCTGGAATTTATTTCAGAGATTTTGGTATGGATAATTTGATGAATACTTAATCCTGACAAAAAGAGACTGGGGAAGGAAATACATTTTAAAACCCCCAAAAATCTGAACCACACAGACTATTGATATATGCCAGGCTTTTTTCTTACCTTTTTCCATTTTTAAACTAGTGGTGATAGATTATAAAAGACTGTAATTTCCCATTTTGGTCCAGTGATGCATTGTGTACTGCAAAATAAGAGAAACAACTAAAACTTTATGTGCTGTGCTCTTCATTACTTCAAGATAAGTATGTTTGTCATGCTGTAACTCTGATTTTTATCTCCCTCATTTTTTTGTTCACCCAGTGTCTGAATTTTCATGAACTTTCTTTTAATAGGCAGAGAGATCAAGAAAGAAAAGAAGCAGAAGAAGCTAGTCAGAAAGAAATAGAAGAATGGGAAAAATCACTTTTAGCTCAAGCAGCACCTACAAAGATGGAGACGATGTGGGAGATTCCAGCTATTGGTCATTTTCTTTGTTTAGCACAACAGATTTTAAATTTACCTGAAATAGTATTCTATGAATTGGAACGCTGTCTTCTGATGCCTCAGTGTAATGTTTTTTTATCTAAAATAATGACTTCTTTGTTAAGTCCTCCTCATCGCAGATCTACATTACACCGCAGGCCGACATTTTCTTACAGGACTTGGGAAGCAGCACTGAGAAAGAAAGTACAACACTGGTATACTGTTGTAGGGCAGACTGACAATCCTAATGGCGCTGCAGAAAAACTTGGCTTATGTCCCCAGTTTTTCAAAGTGCTCGGAGAAGTTAATCCCTTGGAGGAAAAACCATTTCATGAGCTACCATTCTACCAAAAAGTGTGGCTGCTAAAAGGTCTCTGTGACTTTGTGTATGAAACACAAAAGGATGTTCAGGATGCAGTGCTAGGTCAGCCTATCCATGAATGCAGAGAAGTAATTCTTGGTTATGACTGCTTGGAGAATGCATATGTTCATTTTCCACAGTTCTGTGGTGCGGATGTTCGGATTTACAAACAGAAACCTTTTCAGGCTCCTGAATTCCCATCTCTTCCCATCAAAGTTAAAAAAGTACCACGTATTAAATCTGAAAGAGTAAAACTTGAATATGTAGCCAAAAGCAATGGGGAGGTCAATTCTGTTGATAGAGAACTGCTACATCCTTCCAAGACAGAAGTAGAGAAAAGTATGGACTCTGTTGTTGTCTGTCCAGAAAAGAACCTACATTTAGGCACCTTTAGAGTCCCTACTGGGGAGATAAACTGTGAAATCAAAGCCTCAAGAGTCTGTGACATCAAGAAAACTGTTTGTTATAAAGAGAACTTGAAGAATTTGATTACTTCAAGTGAGATTGTTGGTATGGGTGGTGACTCTAGTTCAAGAGAAATAACGGATGGGGAGAATGGACAAGGTTATGCTGAAATGGCCAGACTAAGGTCTGATATGAGTCCATTCAAGGAGAACACACTGAAAGCTTGCCAGGTGCATGTCAATGGCACTTACAATGATTACCAAGGCACCAGTTACCATAAATCTGCTAAAGAAACAGTGCTAGAGAACTCACTGCAAAATAATAAGAAACTAAATAAGATACTAGCAAAAAAGAAGAAAAAAAAAAAAAAGAAGTTGAAGGATATTCTAAATGAAAATCTACAGAGAAAACTTGATGACCTGCAAAGAAAGCGTGAGATTCATCTTCATCCATTCAAATCTTATAAATCTGAGCTCCAGAACAAGTTGTTTATAATTAAAAAGAAAGCAAAACACAAGAAGCACAAATCTGGTAAGTTGACATTTTTTACCTGTACCTGTAGTAAAACTTAGGAGGATACTGATTTCTTTTCTAAGTTGTGTTTTTAGCTAATAAATCTATATTTTATTTTGTGAAACAGGACAGCCTTATTGCGTTAGACATTCCAGTTGTTAATTTTAGAGTGAAAGTTTCCCATATAAAGTGTGTAAAACAGGCTCATCAGCTGATTAAACCGTGATTCATTTGCAGAATTTAGATAACATAATACATTTGGAGAGGTTGTTTGTTGCAAAAAATATATAGAAGAATGAATGTGACTGGTTAGCATCAGAGAGCGTCACTTGAAGTCATTTTGTGGTGTCTTATGTTATAGCAATTGTGGAAATGTTTCTCCCCTTTCTGGTAATATTACCTTATCCAAATTATGAAGAAACACAGAGTAATTATACGATATCATGAATCTAAAGTCATTCATACCGGAACTGTGCAGTCTTAGGTCACCAAACAGTACTGCTTTAACTGTGGGCCTGATTACTCAGTCCAGCAACTGAGATACAGAGTTTACGCTGATGGCGTTCTTATTACAGATTTGGGCGGCATCTAGCTCAGTGTTTCAGGTAGGTGATATACAATCCAGATTTCAGTTAACTCACTGGAAAATTTTAAAGCTATTTGAAAACAGTAAAGTTTTCAAAGTCCTTAAGTCAGTTCAAATTGTCAGGGAGCTGTAGTATTTTCGATGTCATATGAAGCACCATAAAAGCTTCATTCTGTTGAGTCCTGGGCTAAGCTATCTGTGCTAGATTTTAGCAGACTGCTTCAAAAATTACATTTTTCAAAGTGACAAGCTACTTTTCAGAACAGTGTAAACTGACAGATAAGTACTGGATTTCATCTGAAAAGTGGAAAGCCAAAATGAAAAATCTGGATAACAGCAAAATGTCTTCTAAAGGGCAAGAAAATTCCAAGATTTGATGCCAATGCATTTTACTAGAAGTTCAAATTTAAAGCTAAGGAAACTAGTAATATTTAGATCCCAAATATTTGTGCATAATATCCAATGAACTGTCTTACCATTCAAGTCACAAATTCCTACTTCCAAAAAATTTCAATGTCCACATCTCAACAGAAATTTTAAAAGTTGCAGCTGAAGTTCATTTATATCATGTACAGCAAAACTAATGTTTTTTACGTTCACTTGCACGACTGTTAGCTCTCCAGAAGTGTCACTGTTTTCATTTTTCTTAAAACCAAGCAAAGTGAATAATAACCCGAATTGCAAACAAGGCCTCTTTAGTTTGTAGAACTGTTGTCCTTTATCTCTTAAAATTTTGAGGCATTTTCCATCTTATTCTGACCACTTCTTCATTGCAAATTTTGACCTTGCTGCAGAAAATTTTCCTAAAACTTTACAGCATTGCAAGAAAGAGCTGTTGTTCCTATGCTTGTTAATTATCCATTTATCCTGTACCTGTTAGGCTGAAATGGATACAATTGGATTCAATTCACGCTAATGCTTTATTGTTCTGTAATGTTTTATAATGTTTAAGGCTAAGTAGTATTTGTCAAAGATCAGCTGAAATGTAAATCTTCTGTTTAAAGATTCCCTTACAATGTAGAACAGAAAAAGAGATTTGGTAAAACCTGGTCTGAATTCACAAAGACATTTGATTTAAATCTGATCCTGGCCATAATCACTCTTTACAACATTCTTAAAACAGTGCAGTGGGTAGAAGAGAGCATCAGGAATGTAAAAGTGAGTACCTTTCCTTACTTTTTAACAAAATTTTTTTTCCTGCTTCTGGTTCTCTCAGGCAGCTGAATGTAACTTTGAGTCACAGTTTGTACTTCTGTTGAGATGATTTGCGCACTCCTGGCTTGCTGTAGCAGTGGTACTCATCATGAATATAGCCTGGTCGTGCAGTTTTTCTAGCTGAAAACTTCCCAGAACTATTGTGAGGAAAACTTACTGGAGAACAGAGCCATGTTATGACCTTTGCCATAATGACAAGGTTTTCTTACGATTTATGAAAAGGCGTAACCACTTTACTGAATCTGTGTCTTTGAAAGAAGATGATGGTTTTTACTGTGGCAGTGTTCTGTGTCAGTATTATTAACAGAGTTGTACTGAATTAAGTGGAAATACAGAATCAGAGAGAGCAGTTCTGTAAACAGCTTGCATGCTATCCATTCCTTTTTAAATGTATTTTGTTACTGGAGTTAGATAAATTAGGCTATACATCTTGAATTGGACTGTGACAATGGTGATGAGGCTTGTTGGATCTGGACTAAGACAGCTATGCTGAAGTAAATTGTGGGGTACAATAAAGGTTTCAGGGCAAGGCACAGTGCAAAAGTATGAGAATCCTGTGATTGCATGTTTGAAACAGGGATTGGATGAAATTCAGAGCATCTGTAGGTTTGAGAAAATAGGAGGCACCAGAGACTTGAAATAACTGTGATGTTCCTGAAGCAAAGGTTGAAGTAAGTTAAATCTCTTTATATTGCAATTGGTGTAGAAAACACCAATACAGCACAGAAGTTTAGAAGAACCTTGATGTAAACTCTATACCTGTACTCATGCTCTGAAAGATTCCTAGCAGTCTACTGCTCAAAGTCCATTTCACAGTGTATTTTATTTCTTTAGAGTACCATTACATTTTGTGTATGAAGTCAAGTGTTGCTTCAATGTGAAGAAATTAACTAGAAGGCCTGACAGCAATTTTGTAGAGCCTGGTTTATTGTCCTTGGGAGTTTAATCTTCAGAAGTCTTCTGAAGATTTTTGTCTTCAGTGTTGTAAAAGCTTTGTTGTAGAGTTGTCTAGCCTCTAGATATGGAACAACCTGTTAATCATGTTGAAAACATTGAGAGCTATTTCACCAGGTTGTAACAAGGTACACAATTCATTAAGCCTCCGTGCCAGTGTCTTCAAAAATGTGTACCACTGAGGTTTTATAGGGTTTCCTTACATTGTTCTTTAAATCAGCATTATTAGTGCACTTGTCCAGACCTGCTTTGCTCTTTTGACTATATAAAAGCATATGCTGTGTCAGTATGGAAGCTTCAAAACCCTATCATGATGCTTCATTTTCCAGATTGTAGCATATTATATTTGAGAGCACGGAGCAAGATTGAAGATTAGAAGATTAAAGAGGAAATAGGGCATCCTCAGTAGTTGCCAAATCTTTGAAAGGCATGAAATGTGTCTTTACAGATTTGTTGGCAGAAAGATACAGAGCCTACTCTTCAATTCGAGAACAGTGAAGTTGCTCCTAAAATGTAATGAAAACAGAAATTCTTGCAGTTGGAGGGGCTAACTTAGCTGTATTTTATCTGGCAAATACTACTGAGTTAGTATTTGATGTTAAACACATCCGTTGCCCCATCTGGGGTAATAAGACTCAGCTGCATACACAGTAAAAATTTCATCTTTATAAAAAAAAAATTATTCAAGTAAGTTTTTGTTTGAAATTGCTCTCTGTTGTCACTTTATAATTTGCAGCATGGATTAACATTACTTTTCTTCTTCAAGAAACCACAAGGACTCAAATATCAGAATTTATAACAAAAAGTTTTGTAAGTCTGTAAAAACGTTCCTGTTTTCAAGTCAAAAGGATTCCAGCGTAGAAAACTAAAAAATGGTTCTTGCTGAAGTCATTTACAAGTGTCAAGAACATTCCCGTGGCTTAGTGTTTTATCTGTCTCATTTTTATGCTTCTAAAGTAGTAGTAGAAGAGATCTGAATTATTTATATTTTTGTTTCCCCTCCTTCACCCTCAGATGGCAAGACCAACTTGAGAAGGCTTATGTTTTAGTTGTATCTAATCTCCCTAGTATGTTTTTTGGATGCTTGTAACTAGTGTTCAGGTCCAAGTTGTTATGTTACCTTGTTAATTGCTTACACATCTGTTCAGTAATAACATCTGTGGAATTTGTTTTGGCTTGGAAGGAATACCTGTGGCAGCCAGACATCTCCTGGACCTACTGAACTTAAGTTTAATATGTAAGAATTTTCAGAGCTAAAGGGCTCTTGGTTAGTAAAATGTTGATTTCCTGTGAAACTTAAAACAGAAGTGTTCCAGCACTAGTGTTATTTAAAAGCAATAAATGTGAAAGATCTATAGATCTAGATTTGTTTTTTACTTTCAGCAATGAGTTTGTTTAAAAAATTGCTTGATGGCAATTATAAACATGTAGAAGGAAAATCAATAAAACCCACTTCTTAACTATCAGTCATAAATATAAAATAATCCAATCTCTTGGGATTTGTAGTTGAGGTTAGAATAGAGGTTAACTCAAAACAGTGTTGATTCAGGGAAGTGATATTTCTTCTGCCTTACCTGTTGTAGTCACCATTAATTCAGCATTAATTAGCTTCTTAAGAAGCAGTGATGTAAGAAATTATGTTACACATTTATTTTGGTTTAGGTTTACTTTGTTATATAAAGCGCTGTCTTTACTTTGAGACTGAATCATATATGAAACCTGGAATACAGTGTTTTAAACACTAAAAATATTTCAGTGCTTTCTAATGTGATGTTCACTTGCTTTGAAATTAGCTTTTCTCAGAAGAATAGCATGTTTTGTGTTCACTTCGATGCTTTCACTAACCTCAAATATTGGTTTATACTAATACTCACTATATAGGTTTCTGCCCTCCTTGTCCTTCAAGCACCTAACACTAGGTGGACAAGGCAGTATCCAAGTGAATGCTGCTTGTGTCTGCTGAACACAGTTTTCAGCTTTTTTGGCAGATGAGTACAGGGTGGCTTAAGTAAGTTTACTGTGGAAAACCTGTGTTTTGCTGCATTTCTGCTGCAAGAGAGGTTTGTTTTCATTCAGACAAAACAATGGTATGATAGCTAAAATATTACACAACTGCACTGTTCTTTTCTGCAGTGTGTATGCATTTTGACAGTGCTTGTGTTTCAGTTTAATATGCAAGTAGTTTGTTTCAGCAGGTAAAGTCAGAAAATGTGCAAATTGAGTTTTTGGGCTCTGATGCTGCCAGCTGTAGACATAGGTTGGTCACATGTTATTGGAGAGAAATTTTACTTCAAATCAATAAATAATTTTGGTTTATATCCAGAGGTAATTGAATTATAGTTTAAATTAGGATAAGCTTCGTTGTAGTTTGCTTGAAGAATAAAGTGATTGTGTATTTTCCCTTTATTCTCTGGTAGAGAAAGAAAAGTACTCTGTATTTGTTGTACAGTCCTGATTCATTTACTGAATGAAAAGAATCTGACCTAGGATGTCTGTAGTTGTCCACTCTAGCATCAGAAGTGACTTAGCTGTGAGTATTGGAGGTGGTATAAAAACAGCTGATCCTCTCGTGCAGTGCGGGAGGGGAAAGGGGATGATAGTTACAACTTCCGTTTGAGGTATGGTGTCTCAGTCTCTTCTCCTCTGAGCTGAAACCAAACTGAGATGTGGAGCCTGTTGGAAAAGGCAGTGTGGAGACATAATTAGTAATTGTGGCACAGTAAATTGTTTGTGAGTGAATGTAAAGTTACACGGCAGTAGTAGTATAGGCTGACATATAGACATATAAGCTGACATATAGTATAGAACAGTGCCATTTGCAGCAAAGTATATTTTTCAATATAGTTTTGATGTGTATGTTTGAATACAAACCAGATTTTTTTTTTAATCTAATAATGTTATTTTATAATCCTGGCAATAAATAAAGCACTTTTTTTTTCTGGAGAAGTGTTAACTATATTTGAAATTGAACTTTTTATCAAAAAGAAGTAAAACTTGAATCTTTATCACAAGTATTGCTCAATAGTGGAAAAGAAATAAGAATAAATCAGTATTTATTTATCAGTATTTATAAAATATTTATCAAACACTTGTCCAAGTAAACATAATTTAGTGTTGTAGCTATTACTGGATGGGGAGGCCACTGTTAGTGCCTCAAGATGGTAGGGCTAACAACAGCTTTCGTGTACTTCAGCTGTTGATGGAGAATGCCTCTTCAGCTGTTTCAGGATCATGATTTTCTTTGGACTTCTTGGTTTAGTTTGAGAAACTCTATTTGTTTTGATGGAGAGTGTTTTTCTCATTTCAGTCTTGCCTGATTGTGGGCAAGTGTAACAAAATTAATTGGACAAAAGCATCTGGTTTGTCTTCTTTCTGAGCAGTGCAGTCCTGAGTTAGTGATTCCTATGTATTTGTTACTAATATATGTATACTGTGCAAGGCAGTCTTTTTTTATAAAGTCACAAACTGTAGAAATGCTGGTTGGAGGAAACATCTGGAGGTCATCTGCTCTGATTCCTTGTTTGGAGCAGAACTGAGACAAATACCAGAGCAGGTCAGATGTAACTTGAAGATCTCTAAAGATGGAAATCTGTTTATTGAACCACTGTGGAACCCTTCCCTCTCTAAAAATTTTTGTACTAAAATTGCTGTATTATTTTGTCCATGTGTAGAACTCTTGCTACGTGCTTTATAAAATATGACTAGTAAAAGGTGGAATTTGGGGGCATGGGAAGGAAGCAGGCTGTGTTGAATTGAATAGGTGAGCTGAAGAGATTCCTTATTAGAGATAATTATTTTCATTATCTTACGTTTTTCTAAGTTTTTCTAACTGATTGCTATTAGTCAGCAATTAAATATATTTGTACATTGATTATGCTCTGAAATGTACAGTGCACTGAGATCTGGCTGCTGTCAAAAACATTGTCTGTTAAGGAATTATTATAAGCCATTTGAAATAGTTACTTTACCTATGATTATGGGCAAAATATCCCTAGCAGACCTCAGTGGAGTGATTTGAGAAGTTGCCTCTCCCAGTTGATACTGGTTCAACCCCTGGGGGGGGGATTTTGTTATCTCAAGACAGGGTTAGTAGCCAGATGTGGTAGAGCCAATTACACATGGAGACAAGGTAGTGTGTAACAAAGTTCCAAGTCTGGGTGCTAGGTGGTAATCCACAAAACCAGCACACCTCTGGGTTACAAAGCTGCGGTTTTAAACACTGTTTTATAATATATTCCACCTACGTAATGCATATGGATTATTAGCTAACTTCTGATTATGAAAGAATAGTTTCCTGTTACCATTGTTTGCAGATGTTTGAAGTTGAGAAATACTATTTTGGGAAAAACAGATACAAGCTTTTTTAAAAGGAAAAGATTATCAGTGCTACTGGTACAACTTTTTGACATCAATTTTGTATTTTATGCGGAAGTTACTAGGGTAGAAGATGAATTTGCTATAAGTAGTTTGCTGTATTATCAATTCTCTCCCATTGTGCAAATATCTGTAGTGTTTTCTTAATTTTTGATATGTGATAGTCAAAAATACCTGCACCATAGGATATCTGGTGTCAAAAAATGTAAAAAGACTGTAGTGCTTCTCTGTACAGGTATATGCTTAGCTCAGGGCAGATGCCAGCCTGGGAATTGTGTAGGTCTTTTGGTGCATGTATTCCAACAGGCATGCTTTGTGATAACCCATATGTCATACTCTATTTTTAACTTTTTTTTTCCTTGATCCACTTTACACAGAAGGTAAGGCTCATTTTCCTTGTGCTTCTAGACAGTTTCTTTTAATTCTTGGTCTGTCTGTTACCCCATATCTTTCCTACTTTGTACTTTTTAGATGCTGTTGCAAAGGAAGAAATTTTTATTTTATTTGTTTTTTTAATTGTTTATAATTTTTTCTAACAATTTTCTATCTCTTTGTCACAAGGATATGTTGGGGAAAAGAGAGAGAGTATTTCTGTTAACTGTTTTTTTTTGAAGTACACTACATCAGAAATCATACTGCACCACATGCTGAAAATTTTCAAGTAAACATTTGTTGAAAAGTACATTAAAATATTCAAGTAAAGTGAAAATTTCATTTTAAACATAATCAAATCTTCCTTTTTGTAAGGAAGCAAGGCAGTCTAGCTGCCCTTTTTAAAAATCGTTTCATATTCTTTCCAAATAACATTTTTTTACAGGGCTATTACAAGGAACCACTGTATGACCAGACTTCTTTTTGAGTCAATTTGTCAAGAAAGGTTATAAGTGTCTACTTTAGTTCAGTAAGTGGACAGCAATGTTCTCAGTAGTAGCAATTATGTTTTCAATGCAACTGTATCCATAAACTATATAACAAAAATGGTGACTTATTTGCCCCTTGTCAGGACATTTGGATTGTTGTTCTAATAAACATGCTTCCCTGTTTTATCACTTGTTCTCTAGTGTGAAATCTGTAAATGTTTATTTTTGGTAATTGAGGGCTCTCTAAATTTTTTAATGTGTTCAGTATGGGGAGTTTCAAATCTAGGCTGATTTAGTGATTTTTATGTAGTTTGATTTTTTTTATGTGGAGTTTCAGATCTAGATTCTTCAAGCCCTGTACCTTGTCCCTTAAATGTGTTTATTTCAGAGTCAGGTAAGATGTTCAGGAAACTCATAGTATAATAAACTGAAAATATAGAAGCCCAGGCATCTATAGAATAGATGCCTATGTGTATGTACATATGCATTTGCCCACACAAGAAAACATGTGTTAAGAAGAATTTAAATGCAATATTTGCCAATATTTTCATTAATATAAATATTGAATGTGCCTGTGCTTGTGTTATTACCAAGTACCTGTAATTATGCTAGTTGACAAAAAATTCCACATTTTATGATTATTTTTTCAAGTTCTTTTTTTGTTTAAGGGTTTTAATTCTTTTTAAGACCCCCACATGTAGTAATGTTAGAGTAATGGTCTTGGCCTGAGTGAACAAGTTAAAAGTGGTCTTATTTCAATTTACCATATGAATGTAGAAATAACCATATAAGAAACTTTTCTGTCTTGCATATATTGCTTAGTGACATAACTATTTGATTTGAGAAATGTATGTCAGAGCTCTGACACTCTAGGCAGTAAAGCACCTGCCTTACCTTCAAAGGGATGTTTTGGTACATCCATGTTCTTATATGGCTTAGGTGAGTGTAAACTGTATTATAGGAAGGCGTTTGCTTTCTTCTAAAACTGTTAAGTTTTGCTGTAGCTGGAAAAAACAAATCAATAATCTGATTTCATTGGTAACTTCAGTATGTTCAGTCAGGGATTTCTAAATATTGCTTGTGCATTGAGGGTATCTTTTTACTGTATGGTACAGAGATCCCAGATCCTAATGTGTGGTTCGCTTTACAGTGTCAGAGAACAAATCTTACAGGTAAGATGCTATATTTCTTAAGTTTGTGCCATAAGTTCTGAATTTCACTCCTTTCAGAAGAGTGGTGTAAATGTTTCCTTTATGACTGAAATTTTTAGATGCCATGTTATTAGAATTATAATGGGTTTATTCCTTTTCTTCTTTTTTCTTCTTTTTTTCTTTTTTTTCCTTCCTCCAGCCCCAAAAGACTGCACTACACAGATACATGTTTAATGTTTGCTTTTACTGAGCCTAGTTCTAATTCATCATGTTTTCATGACTTACTGTAAGCCGTCTGCTAGTTACAGTTTAACTTTCAAGTCTGTATGTAGCTTGGTTTTATTAATTAAGTACAACAAACAGCATTATGAAGCTTTTCTCTTTTAATCTTACAAGGAAAAAAATCACTATCTAAAAAAGCAATCACAAAGAAGAGGAAGGGTGTCAGAAAGTCTACCATACCAGAATTTCAGGTAATTATTTTAATTTTTGTTTTAAGCACTTGAAATCTGACTGTCTGTGAAGTAAGTCCTTTAGTTTCTGATAGAGATGTTGGAAATCCTTCTTCTAGTTTGAGAGGTTTAACCTGATAGTATTTGTAAAAGTGCATTTCACCTTTTCTTGATAAAGAATGTTTTAGCATTTTTATTATGTGCAGCTTGCACACTGTTCCACAGTGTTGTTTAGGATCCCAGATATATCTGTTACTATATAAAATCTATAAAAGCTAGGAGTTGTTAATGAAATTTTTAGGGTAGATACAATTTTCTGGGATAAAATTACTTGTTTTATATGAAGTATGACAATGTGGTTCTTTAATTGAAATCCATCTTGGTTTACTGAAGGACTTGCAAAAAATTTATAGGCAACTATGCTCACCTTGCTTGGAACTTTTATTCCTTGTCTGTATGTGACTTTAGGGCCAGAGAGCACCACGAGTATTAATTATGATAATGTGGTTTTATGGTGCTGTAGTAGAAGTGTTACAGTGCTTCAGTTTTAAGTTGCTGTTTATGTATGCATGCCTGCTTTGCATTGAAGTTCTCCTTTGGCTTTTTTTTTTTCTTCAGAAAGGAATCTGTGCTATTTTAACGAGTAGACCCACATGAAATCATGACTGTTTTCTAAAACCCTCACACCAAATCAGTTTATTCCATCATGATGATGATGATGTGTTTCAGATGGAGCTAGTATAATTTCTGGTGATAAAATTGGTTAGTAACACTCAATATTGAGAAATGACTGACATTTAAGTGTAATCTGTCTTTTGTCTATATTGTAATGGTAGTGACTGAAATGTTTCCTAGCAGCTCCAAAAAATAGGTACAGTGTCTAAAAATTTTATTTTTCCGAGCACATTACCTGCATGCCATGGATATATACAGTTAGGTTAGAAATCGTTTTTTTTTTTATAATATTAAACTACTGCATTTAAGTAGTCTGTCTAAAACTTAACCCAGTCTTTTAGCTAATCAAGGTAAAATGTACGTACATTTACATATCTATCTAAGTGTATATTTATTTGTGTAAAAACTTAAAATATAACATAATACTTCTGGCTCTTTTGATCAAAGCTAGGAGTTATATCTGGTTTAGGTGAGGCTCAGATTGATTAGTATTGAGCAGTTTAATCTTATGAGGGAACTCTTTAACAACTTAACCTGCCTTTTTCAAGAGGACAGACAGGATTGGTGTGACTGTTAGAAGTATTTACAAATATTAAAACATTTATATTTGGAATAATATTAAGACTTTTGGAATCTAGTAATGTATGCTTCAGTATACTTTTCCCACATACACAGATAGCCAAACTTTATGAAATTATGCAACTGTTTGAAGGTACAAGTATATTTTTTAAATATTTGATAAAACACTTTAAGTATACAGGCCCTGTGAGATATGGAGGAAGGGTATAACCACAAATATATTGCTATTCTTGTCTAAACATCAGTTCTTTTGGAATGAAAATTAATAAATAAAAATGTATAATATTTTTCATGTTTCTGCAGCCTACAAATGTAGGAAAAAAAACCCAAACCAACCATAAGACACTTTATTTTGTAAGATTAGGTTCTGTAATTAAGTATAGATCCCATACCTGAAAATCATAACTTGTCACTAAAACTGAGTAAATTAGTGTTAATAAGTCTTCTAATATATGCAATGACAAAAATTATACATTAAAATCCATTATTAACAGAAACATTCAGGAGCTAATTGTACTACTTAATTTTAACGTTTATAATGCCTAACATTTTATAAAGGAAACGTTTTTTCTCCTCAGATTATTTTTCTCCTGATAGGTCATTAGAAGGCATGTTCTTCAAGAACCATATATGAAATTACCAGTAAGCTATCAGAATGTAATGTAATGTAATCTAACCTAATCTAATCTAAAATGATTAGATTGTAACATCAATACCTTTCCTTTTACCTTCGTGTTAGCCTACCCATTAAAACATAGAACAATTTAGAAAGGCAGTGTTTGAATTGCTTAGTTCCACCAAGTCCTTTTTTAAGTCCTTTTAAAATGCTTGGTCTAAAATACATAAATTCTGTGTCTAACACTTTCTAATAAAATACTTAATTTTCTGGCTACGACAACAAGGAGCAAAGAACACAGGAACATAAATAAGAATCTCATTAGGAGAAATATGATCTAGATTCCATAACAAAATGATCATACAAAATACACTACACTTTGTTATTACTGTCCTTTTCATCTTTCCTTCAAAACGCTGGCTTCGTTCTGTAAGGTGGGAAATGTTAGCCGTGTGAGAGAAGTTTCAGAAATACTTTCTTCCCAATCAGTGTGTTTCTTTATTTCCCCACCTGAAATCACACTGTGAATGACAAAATATAAATTTTTTCTTGAACCTTTTTTTTAAGGTGGTTTTCAGTACAGTACTGAAGTATTTCAAATACTGAACTAATTTTGACCATAAATCCTCCCAGGTCAGCTGCTGTTACCTTCCTTATTTTACCAGAGTGTAACTGACACACAGATATGAGCCTCACGTGTACACCTCCTCTGATGAAAGTTGGGACTTAGAGATTTGATTACTCTTGCCTGTCATTCCCAGACCCAAGACAGCTCAACTTAGTATATTGGCATTGTTTTTACCATTGATGTAGTTTGGATTGGTCTCATAGAAGAAAATAAAAAGTAGTGATAATATTTAGTAACTGAATTTTCAGGTATATAGTCAAAAGAGTGGATTATAATTGTGTAGGGAAAATCTTTGTCCATGCCTTTATTGACTTTTTTCAAGAACTTTATGTGACATACTTGCACTTTTTTGCATAATAATACAGTATCATAGATTTCTTCACAGGCCAGACAGGCAAAGAAAAGCCAGTATTTGACTTCAGTTTACATCTTATGTATTTAACACTTCTTTAAGTGCAGGACATGCATGTTGAACCTGGTAAAGTTACACATAGTAATTCTGTTTCCTGACTTAAGAGGAAACAGACCTGACCTTTTGCAAGTTAATTTTGCATACATTGCATGTGGCAAGACAGTGCCAATTTCCTTATTAATTTGCTATTTTAAACTTGATAAATGTGAAAACTGTAAACTTTAGTTTGAGTCACTCCAGTTCCTCAGTGCTTCAAATGTGCACAAGTGCTATGAAAACAATGGCATGTATGCATTAGAGGTTTCTGAAATTTATGTATTTTGCAAAAAGTGTCAGTTCTGTGTTTTAATAGTGAAACAAAGGCGCTTTTTAATATGACTTTGCTACAAATCTAAAATTGCACATGAATTTGATATAAAACTATATTGTTATGAATTACTGATTTGGGAAAAGTAATTAGCACTTGTATGATAAAATCAGTTTTTCTGGGGTGGGTTTTGCACAGTTTCTTTTATTATAATTTTTTATTTTTTATTTTCTTAAATTATTTTAACATGTTTTCAGTAATAATGAAAATATTTTCACCTAAGGGTGTTCAGAAAAAGCAAGTCTTAACCTGAAGGAACCTAACAGCTTAATAATTTCCAGTTTATTGAGTCTTAAACTGCCATAAATGATGATAAGACAAAATATACAGATTACTTTTGCTTGATGGTTTTTTCAAGAAGATAGCATCCATTTTCTGAAAGGAGAAATGTAAAAAAGCTGATTTCTAAACACAGGAATAAGAAAAATATAATCCTTTCTCAAAACATACACAAATAGGTAGATCTGATAGATAACTAGGTTGCCTTAGAATCATAGAATCAGCAAGGTTGTAAGAGTACTTCAAGATCATCCAGTCCAACCAGCACCCAGCACTACAACTGTAACCCCTAAACCACTAAACCATATCACCAGATGCGTCTTGAACACCTCCAGGAATGGAAGACTCTCTGTCAGCATATAAAGTTATGTCTGGGAAAAAGTTGTAACAAGTGTGAAATGTTATAAGCACAGCATACTCCAAAGCTAGTATACTTTAATTCACCAGGGAGTTGTTTGGAACTCAAAGGTGTTCCAACTCATTACTGTACTTGAGACAAATTTGGTAGTTGTCACTCACAGAAGTTTAAGAAAACACCTACATTTTGAAATGGAAGCTTACAGGCAGAGATATGATTTATGTCTGAAGAAGAGATTATTTTCTTATTAGCTTTTCTTTCTTTCAACAAGTCCTGCTTTTTTTTTTTTTTTACTTTTAAAAATGCTGTAAGAAAATAAAAAACAAATGGTAGCATTAAGTAATACCGTGCTTTTACATTTTATTTAACTTCATTGTATGTTTTCCAAGTCCCACATCACCGAGTGTTTGTGTTCATTTGTTTTTTAGCTTATTTGCACTAATCTTGATGAACTCAGGGAATTAATCACAAAGATTGAGAATGAACTCAAAGATCTGGAGGACATTAAAAAGAAATCGGTATGTGACATTAACAGCTTTCTCTTGTATGGATATAAAACAGTGCCAGTTATTTACTGAGGCCTCTCAACTGAAGATTTTTATGCTGTTCAATAACTGCATAAAACCTCATATGGTTGATACCTAGAGACTGTAATTTTAATCTTTCCTGTATGTAGTGCTCTGTTCTCAGTGTTTTTAGGAGTGAATTCAGTAACTGTGTTAACACTTTTCACTGCCAAAATAAATTTGGATAGTGGCAATGCCTTAGAAGGAGTAGTTCATTTCTATTAAACATGTTAACATTCTGCCCTGAGGACAAATTCTTACCAACAAGCAATTACAGGATAGAATTCTCATATCTGCCTATGCAGTGCTGATCAAAACTTCCAGTGAGCTGACTCTTACATTGTTATTGGCATTCCTAACTCCTTTTGTTTGCAAGTAAGTTATTAAAATTTGCTTTGTTTAATTTTTATTAAAGTAGTTTGTACCAGAAAGCATGCTATCTGGCTTTTGGTGTCAGACTGAGATACAGATTTTACCAATGTATGCTGGATCACTCAGTCTATGCAGCTGAAAATCTCAAATGAGTAACAGTTAGACAAGAGAATCCAATATGTTTTGGCTTTTGTAGGAGACAGTGATTTTAATTAAGATTGTAGATAAGTTTAAATACGTGAATAGTACTCATATGAATGTCCCTTTTTAGTGAATTCTTCTTCTTACTTTTTTGCATTGTGGTTCTGTTTATTGAACTAGTCATTTCCGTGGCATTTCTATAAAAGGTGGTAGATAAAAATTTTACTTTTTCTAAACCTTAGAAACTAGACTGCTTTTAATTCAAGTGAATGTCTACAGTCTCATGCAGAAACAATTTATTCTTAAATTTTTTAAATAGAGGAGAGAGATGTAGGAGAGAGACAATATAAATTAGGACTCTGAAAGACAAATTTCTCTGCAGGCACTTAGCATAATAATTGTTAAAATATCCAAGCGAATAAAAACAGCCTTATCTTGAAATTATTTTGCAGTTGCTAAATTGCAAATTGGTTTTTGTGATAAGAATGTCAAGAGGTTATCAGAAAGGTTATGGCAACAATAGAAGAAAAAGCCAAAAAATGAGAGTATGCTACAGCATATCAATAATCTTAATGTAGGTGACACTTTTAGTCTGCTAGTAAAACTGTATGAACAAGACTTCTTCAAGGGTAGACAAATGCTAAATATGTCATAATTGCTCTTCGAACTGAAATCTGATAATGTCATTATGTAAGTAAGTTGCATGACTTCAGCAGGAATACTATGTTTAGTTCTAATGGCACCGTCTTAAAAAAAACCAAACACTGAAGTATAAGGGAGTTAAGATTCAGCATTCAGAAGTTGTGAGGTAAGGACAGTCTTTCTTGTGCTTGTATAGACCTATCAGATTGTGATTCTGGGTCTCTAAACACTTGTGTTGTTAGAAATTTTACATAAAGGAAAAGGGTTAGGATTAATTGCTGAAGAAGTGGTTATGAGGAAACAGTAAAGTGAAATACTGGTGTTTAAGAACATAATTATGAGGGAAGTTTCATGTTTTCCTTTCAAACATACAAATAGAAAGATGTTAAATTAGAAGAATAATCATAAATTTGACATGCTAAAATTAGGTTTCAGTTTGTAAGGAAAGTCATTAAGATGTTACTTTTGATGTCTAACACCATGTGTAATTTTGTTAGATAGGTGAAAAATTGGAGAAAAACTAGATTTTTATTCTTCAACTCTGACCAAATGACAGTGGCAGTTTCAGAAGCATCTAGAATCAAATTTGTTGGGTTTTTCTGACTATTAAGTAAAACATTGTTTTAATTTGCTAATGGAAGTAGGATCTAATGTAAAAGCTTATTTTAATATGATGGTATATATATATGCTGTTCATGGACTTTTTTCTTGTTTTGACCCAAAGATGGTGATGATCTTACTACTTCATGGTAACTTTATTGATTTTTGTTTGCAACAATGACCTGAGTAAAGCCATAGGAATCTTCTTCACGGCTAACCTCCTTGGTAATTCCAGTTTTAGTAGTTGCTAGCACATGGTACTGAGAAAAATCCTCAAGGCAAGCTTTAATGTTATGTTAGTTACTAACGCATATTAGAAATACAGCTTGTCTAACTGATAGTAACACTTTTAAATATAACCTTTTCTTAGTCCTAACCTCCCTTTTGTTTCTTAGAAGAACATTCTAGAGTACATAAAAGGAATTCCTTTTCCAGAACTTGGAAGTAGTGGAGACTATAATGAGAGAGCTGAGCTGTAACACTTTTTTAACATGGATAAACTTACTATTTTCCCTCATTTTTTATAGGTAGTTGGACTGGTTGTATCTGACACGTTTCAGAACATCAGTTTGAGACAACGAATGACATGACAGATTTTTGTTTGGCAAGTTAAAAGCAAATTAGAACAGGGTTATGTAATGGAAAGCCATGGGTAATTTTAAGTGTGGACATTTCAACAAGCTTCTTCCACAACAATGAAGTAATAAATCTGCTTGGTTGATTAAAACAGTTTGTTTCTGTACTCTTGTACACTGTATTGTCTTTTGAATTAGTTATGAGTAGTATTTTTCCTTTTAAAATGTGTTGTGCTTTTGGTTGATTACTGGCGAGTTTGTTGTACCAATTGTGAGATTTGCTTTGTGCTAGTTCACTGTAACTGTTTAGAGAGGAGAATAAAATTTGACCTCAGTTCTTTAAATTTGAACAGAGTTCAACTCTGCTCTTGAACTCCAGCCACAGTTCTGAAGTGACACTGCAATTTCACATATGCTTTCAACTGACATAAGCCAAAACTGCTGCCAAATAAGTAGTTCCTACTCTCTGTGTCTCTGGAAGCTTCTCTTTTCTGTGCCACCCCATGAGAGAGGCTAGCTGCGCGGTGAGAGAGTTAGTCTGTGATAAACCTAACTACCCTTTTTCTGCTTATGAGTTTTTTTAAGCCAGATCAGTTTTCTAGTGGAATTTATTATGCAGCTGCACAGATACCTGTGCTTGTATTCTGCCAAAGTCTGAGCAGTCATTGTAAGAACAGGAATGAGCATCTGTGGGGAAAAGAAAGTGGGACTGATTTGGACAGGAAAAGTGCCTTTTTGTGACAAGTGAAGTTGTGTGTGATATTTCTATCAGGAGTGCTCTAAAAAGTCTATCCCTTCAGCTGCTAAACAGTTCTATGTATTATATTTAATCTATCTACTATATATTACATATCCAGAGGGAGATGAGAAGTCAAATTAGTGAGATTTGCTGTTTGTTTGAGTGCCTGACAGGAAATCAGAAAGTGAAAGGTGCAGAAAGGGGGACTTAAGGACTTGTGTTTAATGTTCTGTGCACTGTCTAGTGACAGGATAGAGAATGGTTCCCTAAGGAATGTCTAAGCTAGAATCCTTTAATTTTAAAATAGTATGACTAAAAATGACAGTAAAAATTGAATTAATAGAAAAAAAATGTGTTAAATTATGTGGGTGAAATTACAAGCTGTGAGTAGACAATTTTAAACTTGAAGTAGAACATACTGGCTAAAAATTCTTTTGAGATTTTATTACATTTTTACCTCTTATTTACTGAAAATTTAGACTGTATATATAATACGCATGGCTGTTCAGTTGAATGTGAGGTCTTTGCTATAACTATCAAATCGATCAAGACATGCAAAGTAGCCTAATTCCACACTTGGAGTGGTATTGCTGAAAAAATAATTTTGTCAAACATGTGATAGTGAAGCGTTTTGCCAGTATACTTAGGATAACATAGAGACTGCTACCTAATATATGAAATTTCTTTTATGAGAAGTAGCCCCTTCTGTCCTGATCAGTATGCAAGATAACAACTATGAGCTTCTGACATTTTGGATCCCATTTTTCCATAGGTATTCTGTGTCTGGTCAAATCAGTGGGAGTTACTGCATGAGTGGAAATCTTCTTACTGCCTTCCAGATAATCAGCTTCTCTTGTGATCTGAAGTCATTTTGCTTTGTGTGTGTGAAACTGTTAATTAAGCTATTTTGTAGATCATTTGTATGTACTTTACTATTGCATATCATAGCAAAAATTTTTATTTTTTTTTCAAACCCTTCTTGACATTGCGTAGTATGAAAGTGACAGGACTGCAGGTACTTGAATAAAATAGTGAACCTCGGGCTTTTTTGCAGATGCCATTTTGCAAGCTGACTTAGTAGTAAACGTGTTTTTATGTAAAATTTGAACATGAACATTGAAAGATTTCTTATTTACTGTAATGCAAGACTTTATTTTGGTAGGACCATTGGATTGGAATCATTCCCTACAAGTATGACTGGTAAATGAATTGCTGTCCAGGGAGTTAGAAGGGAGGCTGGAGCCCAGGATTCTCATAGCTAAGTTGAGAAGGTTAAAATGGATAAAGGGCATTACTTTCCTGAGAAGGAGACCACTCTCTCCCTATAGAGAGAAAGAAGTCAGACGAAGGTTAAGGAAAGGAGAATTACTTAGTCAAAGGACACCAGCCGCGTTAACAACTAATTAGGGTTTGGAAAAAATGCATTGAAGATTTTATTGTTTATGGAGGTCTGTAACACCCTGATGTTCTTGACTTTGTAACAAAAAAAGTAAAAACCTCCCTTATAAAGGTTTTCAGTTCTGCTATTTTTCCTGGAGGTTAGCCAGTTGATTTAGACAGTCCCAGGACAGGTGAATGTCTTTTGTCTATCTTTGGGAGTGGATGTATGTTTTAGGCAGGTGAGTCAGAAGGGCTGAAAGCAAGCTGAGGTTTTCTGCAGCTTCAAGTCTATATCTGCTGCAAAAATACATATTTCAGAGGGCATCTGAAAATTTAGAGAGAAAAACCCACTGGTTCAGGTCAGAAATATTCAGAACCACGGACATAAATTAATTTATGAAGATAGTCAAAGGAATACATTGATCCAGGATGGAACATAATATTTTCCATGTCTGCTTTTTTTGACGCTCCAAACAAGCTGCTGTTAAATTTGTTTGTACAAG